GGAAGTCAAGTTTAAGTTGTCCGTCCATTCACCAAAACGTTGTAGTTTTTTCTACCAGAAATGTTCAATTCAGCTTGTTCCTCCATGCAGCAGATTGTTGCAAATCTTACACCAGAAATTTTCAATACAAACTTGCCCCCAGGTAATTTTACACTGAAAATTTCAATTGTACAGAACTATGCAAGTTTTCCACCGTTAATGTTTAATAAAAATTGCTTCTCCAATATTCTGATTCCATTTTCCACCAGAAATTTTCAATTATTATTAAATTGATTTCTCTATTCAGCAGAAGGATGCAAATTTAAGACCAAATATTTTCCGTAAAGCTTGCCCATCCGTTCACCAGAACGGTGCAGATTTTCCACCAGAAATTTTCAATATGGCTTAATTTTAAATAAAGCTTATATCTTCATTTACCAGACCAGTGCAAGTTTTCCAAAAGAAATTTTCTGTTCATTTCATTTATCAGAGCGATCCAAATTTTGCACCAAAAATTTTCAATAAAGCATGCTTCTCCATTCACCAGAACGGTGCACCAAAAATTTTCAGGGAAGTTGAACACCCTTGAAAAAAAAAATTACACCAGAAATTTTTGGACCAAAAAAGTTCATTGAGGTTTGTCCCTTCATGCACCTTTGTGGTGCAATTTTCAGGCACTATCTCAAAGGATTTGACGCAATAAATGGTTTTCAGTGCCATTATATTATTTTTTTTTTCCTTTGGTTTGTTTTTTCCGTCGATCTTGTTTTCCGTGCTGAGCACCAATGCTACCGACGTGCCAGGAAGGCAGCTCCCACACCTAGACCCTACCTATCGACCCATCAACTCATGAACCGGGGACCAATGGCTTTACTTCCCATCCGAAGGAAGGCGTGATCAGAGATGTTATGCCTCAGAACATCCCGGCGGCGCCGACTGGGATTGAACCCAGGCCTGCTGGGGTGAGAGGTAATCACGCTTACCACTACACCACCGGTGCCGTTACATGTCATTATATTATGAAATAAAATTATTTTACCTTCAAATCAAGTTATCAAGAAATCAAGTTATTTTATATTATAATTTTGTAAATGTCGAAATAAAAATCTTACTTATAAAAGTGGGGGGAGGCAATTGCCCCCACCCTGCCCCACCCTGTGCACGCCAGTGTTAATCACACGACTCACCATTGACTGCATGAATCCGAGTTGTTTTCCGATGTCCCGATGAGAGAGTTGAGGATTTTCCAGGTGCTTGCGCAAAATTAATTCGTGACGTTGCTTTTCGGATGACGCCATTTTTTCTAACTTTTGAAAAACTGACAGCGATACAAATACAGTGTAAACAATACACTCTAAACTACTTCTTCACAAATTTTCAAGAGAAAATGCACAATGGGTAATTTTCCACACCGTTTTTTTCCGTGATGCAATTTGATGTGGGACACCCTTTAGTTAGCTTTTGTAGAAATGATTTATGACAGTTGCAGTCAAGCAATTAAAATCAAATTGGATTCATAGCTGATTTTCAGCAGAGCGTAATAAAACTGCATGGATTTAATATCACTCTTAAAGAGGTTATGATGACCCCTTGTAGATTGTTTTAAAGGAGCTTTATTGTTATTCTCGCATTATGACAGGGAATCGTGCCTACTTTGGACTCCGGAGGACAATCCGGACGAATAAAATTCAACACCGCAAGAAGTTGACTAACTACAAGACGCTGATTAGACCGGTGGTCCTCTGCGGCCACGAGACTTGGACTATGCTCGTGGAGGACCAACGTGCCCTTGGTGTTTTCGAACGGAAGGTGTTGCGTACCATCTATGGTGGAGTGCAGATGGATGACGGAACGTGGAGAAGGCGAATGAACCACGAACTGCACCAGCTGCTGGGAGAACCATCCATCGTCCACATTGCAAAAATTGGGCGACTACGGTGGGCTGGGCACGTCGTAAGAATGCCGCACGACGACCCAGTGAAAATGGTTCTAGAAAGCGACCCAACAGGAACAAGAAGAAGAGGCGCGCAGCGGGCAAGGTGGATCGACCAAGTAGAAGGTGACCTGCGGACCCTTCGCAGACTACGAAGCTGGCGAACTGTGGCCATGGATCGAGGAGGGTGGAGACGACTTCTTCGGACAGCAGAGGACAACAAGGCCTTAGCCTAATAAGTGAGGTTAGTTATTTTTGTTCTCAAGCATGCTTTAAAATCCTTATCGGGAAATGTCCACTTAGCTGGAAGACAATCTTATAGCAGTTAGCAGGAGGTTGTGGTGGAGCTCTTAGTTCTATTAATAGTTTTATAAATTGATCTTAAAACTGCTACCAGACTACAGTAAATCAAAAAATGTTACTTGGGAAGTGGCAGGATTTTGAAACTAAAAAAAAACAGTATTCTTAATATAGGAATTTTATTTGTAAAAATCTAAATTGTTGTTCAACCAAATTTATGATCTCAGATATCAAACCAATTTGAAGATAGCAGAAATGGAAAATTTCCAGAACTCTTGGACTTGAATTGAGTTGATCAAGATAATCACTGTTGTTTCTCTGACAAGCTAAAAGAAGCGAGGGACTTTCACCTGAATTGTTCAACCAAAAAAGAATCCAACAAAACTTCCCGAGTATAGATTATGAACTTTTATAAATTTTGTCAGAAATCCTTAAAATCTCTATACTCTGATTACAAAAATTTGATATCAAAGCTTTTGCAACTTGTTGATTGGTATGAGTACATGGAAGGAAATCGCTTCTAGTTTCTGATATTGTGTGTCACTGAATGCATTTCTAGGTTGAAATCTCATCCATTTTTAATAGATTACAAAAAATAATTGACATGACGGGATCGAAGTAGGCCGCGCTGCAAAAATGACGGGTTTTTGTTTTGCTGCGTCGTTTTCGTTCTAGTGAAAATGTTATTAATTTATAATTTCATTTTTAAAAAGTGTTAATTTGAAAGTTCAGAAGTGATGTTAAAAAGTGCACTAAGTGAATATTATCAAATTCTTATCCATTGCATGTGGTGCCAACTGTTCTAACCTACGCGTAGTTACGCTCAGCTAAGTTTATTTACCTTTTCGTTCCTCTGTCCTCGATAGGTAATATCCATCTAATTCAAGACGATCATTTCACAACTGCTTGATTGAAAGTTTCAGTACAACATCAATGGTATATATTTGCATCGATAATGTATTGGAGCGGGGATTATCATGTGTGAAAATAGCTTCGGAATGCTTGCGTTCTTGAAATGGGCTATTGTAGCTGCGGTAGAGCTGTCACCTTCTAACTCCCGGGTTCAAGCTTCTTGCATTCATAAGAAATGATTGCAGGCAGATATTATCCATAATGCCACTGCCAGACAGTGGTAGTTAGGCCAAGGGCGAATCTTCGTTCTAATCTACGATTCCACATACTATTAATAACCATTTACACATGAGAACCTCCTAACGATCAGAATGAATTGTGCATATGTTTAGGATCAACAAACATTTTCAGGCGCAAAGTAGCAACAGGATTGAGCTGATAACGTTTCTTAATTCCAAAATCTAAAGACTGTTTTGAATAATATGTTTAGGTAATGGGCAGCAACAACGGACAGATAAACTACTTACAGCTTCCATTTATTAAATGCGATATTAACGATTGCCAGCAACGCCGGCTGGGCGTATCTTATGGCTTACCCTCCCTACTAACAAAAATCCACCCTTCCCGTGACACTTATGAGGGGTCGTAGAGTTCTCTGCATCTCTCTTAAGTAAGTGTCGGACTAACATTCCTACCCTTTCCCCAACCAGATGCAAGGACGTGGCCAGGACAGCTCTGATCTGTTGGAGGGAGACACATCCTTTATCTAAGAGGTAGTAATTAATCACAAATTACTATCTAACAGCAACGGATGAAGGTGGGTCTTCTTCTTAGCAACAGTTTGGAGCTTGTACCACCTACGACATTGTGCAACCTGCTCTATGCTATGCTATTACAAAAAAATAATTGACATAAACAGCAAAACCGCAAAACATAGCACAAATGTCATCCAATGTTCAAAAATTAAAACCTCATAGAACAACTAACTACTTCGAAGCAGTCGATAATTATTGCATTTGTACGTAAACTCAGAGGGATCGGAAAACTCAACCAACCACATACTTTCAACTCGATAAACACCAGACCCAATTCAAATCCTGCCACAACTTTCCAATAATCAAACATCCATACATCGAATGGCCAATCCTTGATTAATGCCTCTCGATGCGTCCTGCATTGAACTGCATTCTAAATTTAGCACAAACATTCACATTTCCCTCAAATGACACATCACAACTGGGTGCAGTGCAGCCTGTTCTGTCACATGGTCCTACTACCCATTCGCAAACCGAGCACGTCTCTCCGTCATCAATGTCACGATTGTCACGTGAAATGAGATCGTCCTCCCACCTCCGTTCCATTCTAATTACCCCACAGTCAGCCGATTTATCCGCATTTGCCTGCTGCAACTTCCCGGCCCTATTGATGCATACTGCGGAGAGAGAAAAAAAAAATAACACGGAAAACCAGGCGCAGGCATGTGGAAAACCACCCGAACGAGTATTGGGGCTTGAATTTTTAATTTCTTCCTCGCTTCACTGACGGAAAAACACAAACCAGTCGCTCTCAGTCAGCCAGAGTCAGTCAGTCAGTCAGTCAGTCAGTCAGTGTGTGAAGGTTGGTTTGGTTTGGTTCGGCACTTTTCAAAACCAGTTCAAGGACAAAGTGCCACACAAACGCTGGCACAAATACACCGAAGTGGAAAACAAGGGACTCACTCACACACACACACACTCGTGGGAATAAAGCTCTCGACAGGCGCCCTTCAAGAATAAATTACCGCACAGGCAGGCACACAGCGCATTTGGGGGCCTATCAGGTGTGTACGGTTGTTTTCACGGTTTACCGTCACGCGAGTTCATGAAAATTTCAGGCTTTTCCTATCGCCCCTTCCCCATACACTCAAGTAACTAATGTAAATGCAACGAAAACAAACCTTTGACATTTGACAATCCTCGATTGGATTGGATTGAACCACTGATTCCTCCGGAACGATTTAGCTTTTTCTGGATGTCGAGATTCACTTCACTAGTTTCGTTTGAAAACAGCTGTCGTAGATTTCCACTTCAAAAGACAACACGCGCACTCGCAAGGTTCGCACTATTTATCTTCCATCAGACAATTCGCTGTAGCCATCCGAATCCCGGGAATCACTCACGTGCTAGCGCCAAACAACGTCATCCTTCAATTTGTCACCATCATCATCCTCAAGGAACACCTGGCACCAGGCCGAAATACTAATTCTTCTCACAAGCTTGTTGTTTCTGTTTTTCTGCTGCCAAAAGCAAGGAATCACATTCACACTTGACACAGCATCCTTCTTAGGACTGGACCATCATCATTTCCATCACACACCACTCCAGAAAATCACGATCCTCAGCTCTCAGCTACGCGCTCTCTTCCTCTTCCGAGCTGCTTTCTCTCTCTCCCGCTCTCTCGGGCTCATCAATCCGCCAGTAGGCCAGCAGCTCCAGTTCCCTAGTAACCGAGTTTTCTCACTTTCCTGTCAAATCTTAAACCATCATGCGTCTCCTTCGTTTATGCAACCTCAAAGTAGCGCTGCTTTGACTTAAATTTCACCTGAGGGCCACTGATCACGCGTCTTTTCTTGCATCACCACTGCACGAAGGAATCCACCGGATTTGTCCCGGGCAAACGGACCAACGAACCGACGTTGACGGCGACGATGACCGCGACAACGACGACGACGACTACGACCTTTCCACCGAACCGAACACGGCCAAATCTGAATCTCGACTGACGACCGAAGTCGGAGCCCGAACCGTGCTAGGTTCTGAGCTTCTCCCTCCCCGAAAAGTATGCAACGAGCGATACTACGAGAGCTAGAAAGGGAGAGAGCACGCTTTTCCTCTCCAAGGGACAATGTACGAGGGAAATCCCGCACCCGATGGGGGGTTGCACTGCTGGATTCACGTGATGTTTTTCCACCCGGAGCTCCCACCGCTGGCTCACACCAATACACGCTCACTTCACCTGCATGGGTTTGTGCGATCGGATGAACACAACAACACAATGGATTCACCGCATCGAACGACGACAGCCAAACCAAAGTGGGGTCTGTTTTGATGACGACAGCGGGATTCTCTTTCTCTCACCAAAAAAGCCACGAGCAAAACAACAACCACTGCAAACGGACTGCTGGCTCAGCTGGTGGTCTCTACGATGGGCAGTGGGGTTGTTTATGCGAAAATTTCTTCCACGATGGGAGAGATGTGATGATGCCAGTCAGGACAAACAACAACAGAGCCAGCTCGGGCAGGAGTGATGGTCCTGGAAAGGCATGCGTTGTGAGAAAATTGTGTTTTCGCTCAGAATGAATGGTTTTCAGACTCTCGTATTAACCTGTGGGCAATCCTTCCTGGAGGCTGGAGCTACACGCGAAACGGAATTTAGGAGATTTTGTGGAAATGTATTGTCAAAATTTCTGCTGGTAAATGCTTTCCAGGATATTTTAAAATAGGGGAAAGGGCTCTAATGTAGGCCAATGGATCTAAAATTGGGCCCATTGCTAAATATCTGCTATTTATCAATTTTATCTAGATGAACGCGTCATTGGAACGGTACTAATGGATATTTTGGTCGCTATCGAAAATTTTGTCGATTACTGAACTTAGGTATGGGCCCAAATTAGGGGCATTTAGGCCGACATTACATCCATTTAACCTATATATATTTATCATGCAAGTATAGGTTTAAAATTATAAGGTTCGAATATCCCTCTCTAACGGCGCCGGTGGTGTAGTGGTAAGCGTGATTACCTCTCACCCCAGCAGGCCTGGGTTCAATCCCAGTCGGCGCCGCCGGGATGTTCTGAGGCATAACATCTCTGATCACGCCTTCCTTCGGATGGGAAGTAAAGCAGTTGGTCCCCGGTTCATGAGTTGATGGGTCGATAGGTAGGGTCCAGGTGTGGGAGCTGCCTTCCTGGCACGTCGGTAGCATTGGTGCTCAGCACGGAAAACAAGATCGACGGAAAAAACAAACCAAAGGAAAAAAAAAAAAAAAAAGAGAATATCCCTCTGTTTTTGATATTACGATTTTTGAGAAGGTATTTGCCGAAATTGATTCCTTATCGGATGAAAATACCTCTGTTAGAATAAGAGGTTTATTTGAAAATTTTCCATCAGTCTAATTCATCAATTGGAACACAGCCTTAGAGTAGGTGGCCAAATACGTATCTGTCATCGATACTAAAATTAATTAAGTGGAATTAAATGGAAGAGACCCCATTTTTTTGCTGTTTTATTTAAGCATTCCGCCAACAACCCAATTTCATTACTTCAGGTGGACAAGTAGCTTTTATATTGAAATAAGTCGTGCCTAGTGTTTCCCCTCTCCGCCATTCCCGGGAAATCGCCCTGAATCTGTTCTAATTTCCCGGGAAACAATTTTAGATTGATTTTGGGATGAAAGTTTCAATGAATTTCACAGAGGAGTCAACAGTACCTTCGAAGGAGAAAGTTTGAAGAAATTTCCAGAGAAATATGAAAATCTTCTAATGGACATTGGAAGAATTTTGAGCATGAGTATGATTAACCGCCCGTGGATACTACTCTGTTATTGTCAGATCCGCTGGAGAACCAACAGTTGATGTTTGGGACTAGCAATGATCCTCAATGAGTAAAAACTGGTGATCTAAAATTGGGCAATACCAGCGCCGGCCGCGTCCGAAGGCAGGTCGAGAAAGGATTGGATAGAAATGTGTTGACGTGATATTTGCTTTGTTGGAAGCCGAGTCCTCTGCACTTTATCAAATCACTGGGATGTTGGATAAAAGGATTGGGTATGCAGCTAGGTTCGTTTTGGTAAACGGTACGCTGAATAACAGTGATATGTACGAGTGAGAAAAAATTGACTAACGAATCTTGAATCTGGAGGGGCATGAGATTAAACTCATGATGCTCTGCTCAGTAAGCGAAAACGATTGCTCTAAGGCCACCGAGCCCGTCATATCACATCTAACCTCTTATGATCGAGTTTTTGTAGCCATTCAAGCCCGGCACCGACGAAAACGACGATAATTTTCACAAAACACGGTGAGAAATAATAAATTTTTTATCAAGAAAACTGAAGAAATGTTCTAAAACTTGGTAAAAAAAAGTAGGCTGGTAACTTGCTTTAAAAATCTTTTTTTTTTTATTTTTAGAGCTTATGAAATTGCATTATATTTAGTTAAATAATAATTTATTTGAGTTTTATGAATAATTTTCAAAAAAAATTTATAATATGACTTTTTTTCCTAAGCCCAGCCGTTCTCAAGTTAATGCGAATTAATAATAATAGTAATAATAATTTTCAACATTTTATACCATTTTCAAATGCAGCAAGATGTGTTTTCCCGATTCCCGATTTTGTCAGCCCCTTCTCAAATTTTAGGCTGACAAAAACGAGAAACTGACAAAATCGGGAAAATATTTCCCATTCCCTAGGTAACAATTTGATGCTTAACAAGTGTTGTTGAATGGATTTTAATTCAGCCTTAGTTTGAATAACTGTTGAACATAGACCACATTAACCTTTGTTCAGATTTTAAACATCTAAATCTGGTGATTTTAATCAGCCAAATGCTTAACAGTTATATAAATTATAATTTTTTTAAGGCATGAAATAACAGTCTTTTCCAACCTTTGTTCAACCTTCTAGTTTTATTTAAAAAAAAATGAAGATCGCTTCAAATATTATATATTTTTATGGGACTGCAACAAGGTGCTGACTAACTAATTGGATTTACATATTTATATTGTTATTATAAGTCTAAAAATAACCTTTGCATTTCGGGATTGGAACCGGAAGTCGCTGATTCATAGGCATCAATCATACCTACTGGACCACTTGAGCATATGTTTGGCAAAAGGTATGATCATTGACTTGAAACACGTCAAATTTAAGTTGAATAACGGTAACCGGAAGAGTATTATACAGCAATGCAGAATTCTAAACAACAACTGGTGACAGTAAAACATTCCTCTCATTTTCAAGTGCAGTTAACACAATGTGCGCGATTTATTTCGATCGTCATGTGTAAGCTGTTTTAGTGCCAAGATTGAGTTATATTTTTGGAGCCCACTAATACCTAAAGCTATTCCTTAAAAGCTCCTCTACCTTGTCTCTACTGCTGCCGCTGCTTGGGATTAGAAAGGTAGGCAGTGAATTTAGAAGAACTAAAATGCCGGAAATGCAACGAGTGACTCTGACTACGTTTAACAAATCAGGCTATCACAATATTTGTAGTGCATTGCTGATTTGAGGAGTAGTGTTAAGCTAAAATAAGGCTTGGTCAATCTTTAGATCAGCTAACCTATTGAGGTTGAATTATAGGGATACAATTAGCTTCACGCACTACTAATCAACTATATATTCAGCCAGCTGTTATTCAGTTTTTTACACCTTAAATCAACCAATAATCAGCTTCTGTTCTTACTGTTCAGCTTGAATTGTTACTTGGGTCCTCCGACTACTTCGAGGGAGCTGGCACTTCTGATACTCTCAGTGCTAGTTGGCGCTGCTAGATCGCTGCTCCTTTCTCCATTCCAAATGCCTCCACATTTCACCGACGACATTCTCCACGTTAAGGACAGGCATCTTCCTTCGCACTGTCTCGCACCTTGGACAGTCGAAGGCCATGCTCCGGCGTTTCATCCACGTTGCCACACTCCGGGCAGAGAGGTGACGCTACGTGTCCGAACCGATGCCGTATGCAGACAGGAACTGCGTCAGGTGGTGGTTGACTTCTCCGTGTTTTCTGTTCACCCAGGTCGAAAGAATTGGCAATAACCGATGTATCCATCTACCGTTATCAACGGTGTTCCACTCCTATTGCCACTTTGCCAAAAACTCCGCTTTCTTCACTTTCCGTACTCTACCGGCTTCTCTCCAACTGTGGCACTCGCTGTCCTCCGCCGGGTGATGCCGATAGGGATCATTCCGGTGATAGCGCATACTGCTTCCGATGAGATGGTTCTGCACTCACGACTCGCATGGCCATGAGCCGGAGCGCACTGCTCAGTTTCGTTTGGTTCTGCTTCGCTTCCAGGCTGGACCTCCATACCTCAGTATCTAGCCAGAAAACGAATCTTGATATTGCTAGGAATAGAGTTGTTCAGCATGATTCTAGCTATTGTGTTGATGGCCTTCCCAGCATTCTCACAGACATATTCGACGTGGCTGTTGAAGTTTAGCCGGTCGTCGATCATCACTCCCAGGTATTTCAACACGCGCTTCGAGGCAAAGGCGTGCGTTGGACTAAGGATGGAGCCTTGTGGAACTCCCGTTGTGATCCGTATCGATCTCTGCCCCATATCTGTCTCGTAGACCAGAACCAGGCTCTGGAAGTAACTCCTCAGAATCCTGCACAGGTAGTCAGGGACCCTCATTCTATGCAGCGCTTTGGCAATGGCTTTTCAGCTGCGCTGTTGGACGCATTTTTGAAGTCGATCGTTATTACGGTGCAATATCGATCTCCTCTTCGCTTCTTTTTTTTTTATCAACCCAACCCATTTGATAACGGTGATGCATACATGCGGGGTTTATTGTGTGTGAAAGTAACCTCAGAATGGGCATGACTCTCCAGACATTCTGAAATGGGTTGCTGGATCTGCAATAGAGCTATCACCTTCTAACTCCCGAACTAAAGCGGTCTACAATGACCATAAATGCGACATTGTAGAGAGAGTTCTTCCATAATAACACTGCCGGC